ANGGTGTTAATCAACGTTTAAGTCTAAAAAATTAGGAATTTTTACCTCTTTTAATCAACGTTTAAGTCTAAAAAACAATATAGTTATTATAAGTTTTTTTCTACATCTTTTAAAACATTAAATATGAGCATGTTAGGGCTAGCTTGTAAAATAATTAATATATTATCTCATTAAAACATTTATACTAATAAAAATTTAATTTTAGCATATAAATTTATCCCTTGATATAAAGTAAAGTAACAGTTTTACTTATTGTTGTCAACCATATAATATTTAATTATTATTAATATAATAAAAAATGAATATTATTAAATAGTGTAGTAAAATTGTTATAAAATTATATGATTTTTTTTTTTACAATATGGATTTAATATTTTTTTATGATTTGATAATATAAACAAATCTATACTTAACTTTGACAAATAAAACAAATAAATACTTTAGTAAGTATTTAATGTATATACTAAATAGGAATATATTTGGTATAATCAAATACCAAATATAATCAAATAAGTCAAAGTGTATATTTTTATTTGGTATTTAATTTTTTTATTATTAAAATCTTTTTATTATATTTACCTTTTTAAAATAAAGTAAATAAATAAACCAATTGAATAAATAAAATATTATAATACCAAAATAGTAATGGTATTTAATGCAGTCGACTTTTCGGGATAGTAAATGTAGTAAATAGAATCTCCTTTTATATAAGTATAGATATGATATTATATTATGTTGTTCAAAATAGTAATGCATTTATTGCATTGACTTTTCAACTTACTAAATTTTGTAAATGGTACACCTTATTATATAAGTATAGATATTAAAAACTGATTTGTTGTTGTATATTAGGAAATTTTAAACTTGGGCACCAAATTAACTTACTCTCCTATATTCATCAGGAAAAATATTTCACTACGTTTAAGGAATGTGATCGTTTATTTGTGTTTGTATTATAGGAAATAAAATTTCCTAACTCAAAAAAATTTACTACCCAAAAGATACTCCAAATTAAACTAGGTAAACCACGTATACATACTTCTATATATAAACCCCTACTTACAAATCGAAACTCATTAATGCCACATTCGACTTTCATACTAATTCAAGAAGCAATTTCCCTTTTGTTCTTTATCAATTTATTCCGAAATTAATTCCATCAAGCAAACAGCCATGGACGTGGACACCACGCTCCGCCTCTCCAACGCGCCACCAAGCCCCCGCCGCCACCGTCGCCGGAAGATCCGGTCCAATCTGGCCCGGTTCGCCCGAGAAGTCGACAGTTCCACCTTTCTCCGTCTGGGGCCCGCCACCCAAGAAGTCAATATTGAAATCTCCAAAAACAAAAAGAAATCGCGGGCCAAGAGGAAAAGTGAGGACAGACCGGGTCCCAGAGGGTCAAAACCCGAACCGGGCCCGAAGAAAAAGAGAGCCGCAACAATCCCGGAGCCTCACACCCGACTCCTCCCGCCGGAAATCCTGAACAAAACCGGGCCGGGCCTTGTTTTCTTGTTCAAGAAGAAGCTGCAGGTTTCGGACGTGACGGGGGATCAGAACCGGCTTTTTGTGACGGCGGGGATGATAGAGAGGATGAAAGAGGAGTTTATGACGGAGGATGAGAGGTGGGCCGTTTGGGATAGGGCGGGACTCGGGATTAAGTTATCCGGGGTGGATAACAGGGGCAACGAGTACAAACTGGGATTAGCGACTTGGTGGAGCTTGGGAATGACGGTGATAAAGAGTGGGTGGAATCGGATGGTTAAGGGTAATGAGGTGAAGGCGGGTGATTGGGTTGATGTGTGGGGCTGCCGGAGTCCGGGAAGAGAGGGTTTCCGGCTGGCATTCAATTTCAGCGCCGGCGGTCGGGATGGTGCCTAGGGGGATTCGCGGGTTTTTTTGAGTGTTCGTCGAGAATTGATGATATTTGATTAGAACTAATTGGGACTCATTAGTGGGATATTTTTGTTTTTGTTTTTTTTTTTCCCTTTCAATG